TTCTAGGCTAACAATTTCTCTTCTGATTTTTGCCTTGGGAAATCACTTCCATATTCTGTTAACCAGTCAAAATCATCAAAAATTTATATGCAATGGCGATCATTATTTACTATTTTTTTTTTAAATTCATGTTCTTTTGCTGTTATCGTTTGTCCTGGGTATGACGATTATCTATATCCGTGTCCTCGGTAAAACGAAAAACGTCCAACAGCAGGGCTTCTGATTAGGAGGTTTTCAGGAGCGTGGAACCAGCTCTTAATTGCTGGTGTTCACAGATACATCCTGAACCGTGGTTGTAGTACTTGTTAGAGTCCCAACCATGGGTAAATAGTTAAATTCCAAGCTGGGATCAGAGCATTAAGAAAGTGTAAAAATAAATTTTAATACAAGAAATACTTGACAAAAAGTTATTACCAGCAATACATTTTTGAAGAAAAATTACCAGCAACACGCTATTAACAGCAATACTTTATTGAAAAGCTATAAAAATTTTATCGGCAGTACATAACCCATTGAGTTTGCTATGCCACACAAAAAAAAAAAAAAAAAAAAAAAAAAAAAACACCAAAAAACAAAAACAAAACAAACTGTAATCGCTTCTTAATAATATTTTTGTTATTCGTATATTCATTCACACTCTGCGTCTTAGGGATTTTCTTGTTTTGCTTGGGGTAAAATGATTAAATTTTTTGTGAATATTTTTCGTTAAATAGTCAAAGAAATAATGTTGTTGTTTGCGAGAAGCGAAGAACTTTTTCATTACTAGTATTAGGCTTCCGTCACTCTACAGATGCAACATTGATGACTAGCTAATACTTGCTTAGGTATATTTGTGTTTTTTTAAAACACAGACTTTTTGAGTGATCTTAGGTTCTGGGATCGAACGCAAAATCTGATGTGATCTGTTGTTGAACAAGGCCTGTAACGCTCGAAATCTGTCACGAGAAATTGTAACTTCGTGCTAGTACAGTAATTGACGCCTACCGAACATCTTCCTCTAGCCATTTTCATTCACAGTGCTTGAATCAACTGATAGCATGGTTTCTCGTAATTCTCAACAGGGACGCAAACAGAGAACGTCTCCCCAGCTCAATATAATCAAGAAATAAGATTCTTTGTAAAACTATTATCAGTGTCCTTAAGGATAGCATCATTTATATAAGCAAGGAAAAGAACGGGTGAAATTCATGAATTTATTGTGCAAAAACGTTAATATTTAGTGAAATATGGCGCAGTGGAATCGCGGAAAAATTGATTCAATAATCAATCCTGTTTTAACACAAGAAAAAAAGTAAATATTTTTGTTTTGTTTCAGCAATCAGACTATCTTCAACACATAGCAAAAACTAGGCTGTGAGTTTGCCAATATTCATTTCTATTTCATGAGGTCTGATGTGGATAGTATTTTGAGTTCTTTACCTTCTTATTTTTCAGAGAAATATTCAGAAAAACTCCAAATAGGATATTTAGTTAAATTTAATTTTACACACACACACACACACACACACACACACACACACATATATATATATATATATATATATATATATATATATATATATATATATATAGTCTATCAAAATTCTTTTACACACTTTTGGGGGCAGGTTCTTCACACCAAAAAAAAAAAAAAAAAAGGACTAAATCCAGAAAAAAATGTCCGTAAATACTTCTTTTTTGGGTTATTAAGTTTAATGTTTACGGTAGACACCGTTAAGTTTTTTAAAAAAATTGTAAACTCTGGTGACACAGATCCTGTCTTAACAACGATACGATGAACGGCACCAAATGTTGTATGACACGGCTGCCTTTCATATGAAAACGCAATATAATACTGCCGTGTAGTTTGTGTCTATTACCATTCACGCTGATGTATGTCAAAATCACATCTGTCTGCTCACGGTATGAATATTCTGCCATTGTTAAACGGTATATTTCTCAGTTAGATTACTACTACACACGTTGAAGACAGACTAACCACAAACGTACACGAATGAAAAATGAAGTCTAGTCTACATGGCAACACAGCTATCTACCGTAACATCTCTTTAAACTCAATAACTCAAAAACGAAAGAATTGATGATATATGTTTATATGGGCTTTTGTCCTTGGATTCGTTTCACAAACTTCCCCTCACACCAAAGTTTGTAAAAGTATTTTGATACACCCTGTACAGAGGATGGCGTCTGAAAAACTGAAAGGTTTGGAAGTCATAAATTCTTCGTTTTTAATCTTTTTTTCTTTTTTTTTGCAGGTCATAGAGCATCTGTTGGAGAATAAAATGGCACGTATGATGTCCAGTAACGAATAAAACTCATAGAGTTTTTCCATTCAAATGAAAGATCAATTATTCAATCTCGGCAACATTTTAAGGTCAGTCTATTTCCTAGCGATAACATTATTCGTAACCTAATCGCCCGCTTTGAAAGAACTGGATCAGACAGCAATCATCCGGGAAGAGGTCATAAAGGCACTGAATCGGCTTTTGTTTTTAATCATTCAGTTTTAGTGGCCACCTTGCATATATATATATATATATATATATATATATATATATATATATATATATATAGATAGATAGATAGATAGATAGATAGATAGATAGAAAGAAAGAAATAAAGAAAATCTAACGTGGTCACTTCTATTACGCGCTTGTATATAGATAGAACTGAGTAAAACTCGGGAGAATGAGACACACATTGCGTATCAAATTCATTGGACATACACTGGTAAACGAAGCAATCTTCAAAATCCTCATTCAGCATCTAATGTACAAAAACATCTCATCCAGGAACGCCTAAAACCTACATGAAATAATTAACTTAAATTTAATAATCTGATTATGACTGAGTGGATTATTTGTGTAACTTTATAAATCCTCGAGGTTAAGCTAAAAATATTAAATAAGTTTGTTTTAATTTCGAAATCTCCAGTAAAATCTTTAATGTAAAAACTTTACACCTAACAGAAAAGTGTAACGCGTGAGTCATATATTTGAGAAAACAGCTTTAAAATCTAGAAATCTGTAGCTAAAAAAAAATGTCCCTATTTTCCGCCTCGGAACATTCGTTTCAATGCTGGAAATAAAAACGTATGACGTTCTCTTTTATTTATCCGCTAAACCCACAGATTTGTATATCGTAACCTTTTTAAATGTGGCTGGTATTTTATGTTTATGATAAAAAAAAAAGAGCTCAACACCTCTAGTAAGAATACATCTTTGTTTGGCAAAAACTAAAATAAAATTTTCGACAGACAGACATTGTCAGAAATCTTGTGTACGTTTAGCCAGTTACAGGTATCATCGACAAGAACACCGGAAAACCAGGTGTGCTATAACCAGGCTGATCCATGTGGCAGAGTCAAAATCAATTGCATGGTACACGAAGATAATCGATACAAATCGTACGTTTGACGGGAGGGCAATTCACTGTATATGTTCTGGCAGATCACACATTAAGCATATTGAAAATAATAGATTTTCTAGGGCGTTTATCAAACCTTCTGCCATGATGTTTTCAGCCATATTTGACACTATTTTTATACATTTGGCTAATTTTTCCCTCTGCTAATTTTCTCTAAAGAAATTCGACCTGGTCACAGACAGAAGGTGAGAAATTCAATCTACCACTCAACACAGGTCCCAAAAGGACGAGTAAAATGGAGAAAAATAAAATAGAATAATGTCCATTTTAAAGAAATTAAAACTTATATGAAATCTACTCTTGAATTGTTGATGACATAAACTGTCACACTCTACTTAAATTTATTGCGTGTACGGCGGGGATTTAGCAACTATGTTCGATGAAAAATAAGACCTAATAAAATATGGAAGAAAACTTGATGAGCCAAAATCTAGCTACCTAAAGTTTATGTCTCAATAAAATCAACGTGGAGAAAGCAACGATAAACCATATCTCTATCATTCCCAAAACTATATATGTGTCCTTATATGTTGCTAAGTTGGGCAACGTCGGCACTTAGTTGCGTAGCCTAGTTCAATAAGTTTTCATTCATTTTTTTTGTTTAGGAAATATTGAAAATTTTATTATTTAACATGATAAATAAGTTCAAAACGTCATCATTCTTTTTCCTCCCAATACTACACTTGCGACAGACATCAAATGACAGCCGCCAATGTCAATCAGTTGTGTAAGGGATGATACACAGCATTTAACACCGATAGATTGACCTTCGTATTGCATTCCCTAAGCCACTTTTATTTTAAGTAACTGGTTTCAGTTTCGGCGAAATAATTAACAAGGCCAAATGATTCAGACTCTTCAAAATAGAGCTCCACAATGAAATATTTACGCATGGTCAGTTTTTTCTATGCTCAAGAGTAAGAAAATCTTAAGAATTAATTCTTCCTTGTTAAAAATTTAAAAAAAAATGAAATTTTCCTTAAAAATAGTGTTTACCATGAAGTTCTATTAAATCAAATTAAATCAATATTAAATAATTATTTCAAATTTCATCGATTGGTCTGAGAAATTGAACGAAACGCAGAGTTTGTATATCTCGACAAAAATGTTAACAACTTCAACAATTCTAAACACTATGAGGATTTCAAGATGACGAAGCGTGTTGTAAAAAATTTCAGATACACCGCTAATCCTCGTCAAATAATCTATTGATAATAAATTATATAATATAATTTAATAGATTATTCAAACTCTAAAATATACGATTTAATATATTTATCAGATGCTAAAATATATTTTATAATATAATTTAATAGACATATAAGGAGCTAAAGTATACTTTATAATTTAATTTATGCCTTTAACAGACGGCAAGATGCATTTTATAATGTACTTTACTAGATTTATCAAAGGCTAAATATATAATTTATAACATATTTTATATTATTTATTCGAAACTAACAAGTAGTATGTCTGCGAAATTTGAAGCAGGATACATAACTCTATGGAATCGTTTTATCTTTTGGTTGAAAATTAAAATATATTCCTCACCGCTCGCGTTTATGCATTGCTAAATCTCAAACGATTTCAGTGCTAAAGATGAATTAGCAAAAGAGAGCTTCTATGTAGAATCGTTATTATATTACATATCTGTTTAAAAATACTTTTACCTATATAATACATTTAAAATCTATCTATCTATCTATCTATCTATCTATCTATCTATCTATCTATCTATCTATCTATCTATCATGTGTGTATGTGCGTGTTTGTATGCGATAGTATAAAAGACACAGAGGGTATACACCGAGAGATAAGAAAGCATAACTGATACTGGTAAGTAAAAAATACTTAGCAAAATCGTTTGCGAAAAGTGATTATAAATATTTGAGGTAATAATATTAAAAAAAAAACATAAAATGTACAATTTAACATTCAATATGAACAAGGAACCGTATTTTCAGTACAGTTTCACAAAAAAAGAACACAAACAAGCAAAAAAGAATAAGAATGCACTTGAAAATATTCAAATATCTGATTGTAAAAATTGAAGCTCAAAATATATCAAATTCTTATTGAGTAAAAAAATTACAAAAAAATATATTAAATGGCAGAAGGATTGAAACGTTTACGTTTATTGAAAAAACAAACAGAAAAATATTACGCCCTGAAGATAGGTAATGTGCTTGCAAATATTAGTGCAAATAATATCGAATATATCTATAGATTCGTTCCCTAGGTAAAAACAATTAAATAAAGAAAACATAACATTCAAAAATTACACACAAGCATATATATATATATATATATATATATATATATATATATATATATATATATATAAAAAGTAAGGATGGGTCTAGTCCAAACTCAAATTCCATGCACACGCGATCTTCAGACAACTTGAACTTAACACCATTTAAGTTTTTCTGAATATCGTGAGCGTGATGCTCTATATTGCAAATCGAGTTTCGACTAGAGCCATGCTTTCATAGGATTTAACTTTGGAAAGATTTTTTAGTCGGTCTAAGCAATCTGGACGTCGAGCAATTTACTGAGTAGGTAATTTTTCTTTTACGTCTATTTTCTCTTTGTTTTTAGTATTGTCACTTTTATTCACTTTTTATATGGTTAAGAAGTTTAGATCATGACAAATTGCCCGTTGGTTACATCTATGGTTTCTATTTTTTGTTTAATATATATATATATATATATATATATATATATATATATATATATATATATATATATATATATATATATCTTACTTATTATAAAACGCAGATTGTGTGTGTGTCTGCAACGTTTATATATTGGATCGGATTTCCTACATTTTCAAACGATTTCAAACAAAACTTCACAGAACTACATAAAAATTACCTTGTGGTGGTTCTAATAGCGCCAAAATGGGAAAATATCATTGTTTTTGCACAAAATCAATTTGAAAACACGATTAAGAGACATCGTGAAAATTGAAGGGGGACAACTCACATCGGGTTGTTTGTGTGTGTGGGTTCCATTAAATATGGGAGCGGATTTCCTATATTTTTCAGCCGATAAAACAAAACTTCACTTTTTGTTTTTTTGTTTTTTGGCAGGTAGTGTTTCTTATTCTCTTGCAGACTTTTTTCTTTATTTTTAACATTCAGAATGCTTTAAAAATTCCATTTACAAGACAATTATTTAAAATTCTATTCAATCGGGAGACTCATAACGATTGAAAACAATGTTTTGTTTGAGTTTGGGTTTGACCAATTCGTAAAAAATAAAAAAAAACTAATTAAGACATGCGTGTCCGTCAACCTTAAACAATAATCTAACGATCTCTACTGATTGTACGAATACAAACCTCGCAATAAATTTTTTATCTTTAGGGAAGATAATGAAATCTAAACATACACAAGTCCTAACTAAAAATAATAACCGGAACAGGAAACTACTTTAAATACACATGGTGTCCAATTTTTTTACTGTATTCAATAAGTAAAAATCATAAATTGTAAAAGATTATTATTACAGAAAGGCTACTAAATGAATAAGATTTGTTAGATCATAATTAATAAACCCAAATAAAGTTAATATTTTTTGTATTAGAAACAACGAGTGGAAAATATATTCAAATCAGAATTCTAATTATGAATCACCACAAGCAAAATATGTAATTTTTTTTACTGGATTCAATAAGTAAAAATCATAAATTGTAAAACTAAAAGATTACAGAAAGGCTACCTACATTTTTCAACCGATTTCAACAAAACTTTACTTTTTGTTTTGGTATGTAGTGTTTCTTATTGTCTTGCACACTTTTTTCTTTATTTTTACATTCAGAATGCTTTAAAAATTCCATTTACAAGACAGTTGTTTAAAATAAAATTCTATTCAATCGGTAGAGACTCATAACGATTGAAAACAATGTGTTTTTGTTTGAGTTTGGGTTTGACCAATTCGTAAAAAAAAAAAAAACTAATTAAGACATGCGTGTCCGTCAACCTTAAACAATAATCTTTGTCAATTTTATTTTTTCAGTCTTTTATCATGGTGGATACTTGATCTATCTCTTACTGTTATATCCCCAGGCAACGCCGGTCTCTACTATTATGTATATATATATATATATATATATATATATATATATATATATATATATATATATTGAGAGAGACAAAGAAAGACAGACAGACACATAGATAGATAGATAGATAGATAGATAGATAGATAGATAGAAATTGGACATCATCGGAATAAATGTTTGCGTTGATGTGATTACACATGTCCAAGAAGTAAATTTAAATTGAATTCTTTGAATATTAATTTTTTAAATAATAAAAATTAATTTTGTTCCATTTTTAATGTTAAAAATAATCTAAATTTAAATATTCACCAACCCTTTCGTTCGGGCACTTGTGTAATCAGAGTAACGTAAGCATATTCCTCAATCCGATTAGTTATCCCTTACGCTATCAATTACTCCACCGTCAGAAAGTCAATTAAATACGCGGCCAGGGTTTCGACCTGGCGGTCTCTTTCGGGGGTACTTTGAAAATGATTTATTTAACTCTTTATTTCACACAGACACACACACACACACACACACACACACACACACACACAGACACAGACACAGACACACACACACACACACACATATACTTATCTGAGATGAGAAACTCACATTATTTACACTGTTCCGACTGTTGTCCTCATCTTTATTGCCTTATTCGCGAGGTTACGGCCGCTTTACTCTCCGGCCATCTTCAGGTGTTTGTAATTTTTAACTGAACCCTTTATTTTTTCCACCGTTGTACACATGAAATGGATATCCTTTAACTCAACCTCCGAAGTTTTTGTTCACTACAGAAGTAGCCAGGTCACAACTCTTCGTGTCAATGCACTTGCAACGAAAGGTTTTATCCACTGGGCCTGAGGACATCAGCGTATGAATTTTGGGATGTATAAACTTAATGTCTCATTAACGATATTTTACCACAGCTCATATTGCAATTATGTTGTTATTATTTCTTTTCTTTAACACTCCGCATATAGTATTCATTTCTATTCAAAAACTTGTAGAATTGAGTTAAAGAGTGCTAACATAGCCCGTGGAACGACATAGCATGTTGAATTTTGAAAAATCTCAAATTACAAGTAAATTTAATATATCAAAAAAGCAAAATATTTGCTGCGTTTAAAAACGAATTTAAACTGATTGGAACAATTTTTAAAATCTTTTAAAATGGATGGTTTTAGTCATTTTCAGCCACGTGTCAGCACAATGTAATTCTGTTAATTAAAAAGACATTTCAAATTTAAATATACTTTTCTGTGGAATTATATCAGGAATATTACCTGATTTAAGTCTTAATTAATCTGATTGAAAACAAATCTTTTTCTTCTAGTTTAAAATATCGCATAAAAAGCTTTTCTAACACGGAAGTAGATGGTTTTATTGGATGTACAGTCCTTTGACAGATAGACAGTCGGGAATTTATCTATTTTTCAACGGGTGACTTATTGGTAAACATTACTTGAAGAATATAACGTAAAAGTCTTTTTTATATATGTCTCAACTACGTAGTAACTTTAAATCTTTGGACAATATTCTTAGAAATCTAATGTTTTATTGAATTTTAGGCATTTTGTTTAAATGTATTATTGATACCGCTCTTATTTTGTGATAATATTGTGCATGGACATCCGTATTTAAAATAATTTGAACGTCTCTTAGCAAACAAGCAAAATTCAAAATTATTTTGATAATATGCTTCCATTGATAATTAGTAAATATCTTTTAGTTAATAAAAATATCACCTCACGCATACAAATTAATATAGAATTTGAAAATATATAAAACTTTATAAATTATCATAATGAAAATGTAAAATAAAAATCCTTCCAAAAATTCATCGAAATGTATTTTCTTAAAATAATGTCCATATGATATCTTATACATAAAACCAATGGAAAGTTTTTTTCTAATTAAATGATATATTAGTAATTATTGCATTCTTCTTTGTATGATTCAGAGCAGATATTCGGTTTTCTCTTTTAGAAGAAAAATGAGGAATTAAATTCTCCAAATAGTTCTACTTATAACTATTGTTATGGTCCAGGTTAAGACCAAGGAAGAACAACATGAGCCCAAGAGTAGAAATAAGGAAGGCATATTACACGAAATAATAATACAAGATGTGGAAGGTGTTAGTATGACTGTCAGTCTGGTTTGGAGTGAACTACTATCGGCTCGACTCGATTCGGTATCTAGCCACCCACCCACGAGGGTTGCATGTGGCACAAGGCCGAGTTTAACGTGGGTTTCCTGAGCCCGTAGGCTTAGCCAAAATATGCCCGTAGAACCCGTATAAACGAGATCGGGTTGGTCAAACTCCCCGAACGAGAGACTGCTTTTTGGCGGAGCTTCGTCCGGGTCCCTCTCTGCTCAGAGGCAGAGAGTTCGTCCCTCAAGCCGAGAAGCACGGCTTGAATCGGTATCTAGCCATACCCACCACGAGGGTTGCATGTGGCACAAAACCGAGTTTAAAGTGGGTTTCCCGAGCCCTTAGGCTCGGCCAAAAAATGCCCGTAGAAACTGTAAGAAAAGAATCGGGTCGGTCAACCTCCCCGAATGAGGCTCTACCCTTCGGCCGAGCCTCGTCCTGGTTCCTCTCTGCACAGAGACAGAGAGTTCGAACGTCAAGCCGAGGTTCTCGACTTGAATAGGTATCTAGCCACCCCCTCCTCGAGGGTTGCATATGGCACATGGCTGAGTTTAATGTGGGTTTCCCGAGCCCGTAGGCTCGGCCAAAATATGCCCGTAGAAGCCGTATAAACGAGATCGGGTTGGTGAACCTCCCCGAACGAGACTCTGCCCTTCGGCGGAGCCTCGTCCGGGTTCCTCTCTTCTCAGAAGCAGAGAGTTCTACCGTCAAGCCGAGCTTCTCGGATTGAATCGGCATCAAGCCCCCCCCACACACACACGAGGGTTGCATAGGGCACAAGGCCGAGTTTAACGTGGGTTTCCCGAGCCCGTAGGCACGGGCAAAATATGCTCGTAGAACCCGTATAAACGGGATCGGGTTGGTGAACCTCCCCGAACGAGACTCTGCCTTAGAGAAATGAATTTCTCGAAATTTCATAAAATTATATAAGGAATGGGAAACATAAACAAAGTATTATTATAAAGATTTTCTAAAAAATGAAACTTTTCTGAAATAATTTCATTCCTTTGTGAATAACTCCTAAAACCTTCATTAAAATCTAACAAATATTTAATATTTTCAAGAATTTCCAAATCAATATATTTCAATGAAAACACTGAAATTTCCCGTAACAGTCTATGGTCCCCCACTGACAGAAGGAAAAAAAATGTTTCGAAATTTAATAATCAAAAATTCCTTGTCCTTTTCTCTTAATAATAGTAGAAAGTTTTTCTTAAGTGTGCGCATTTCTTCATTAAATATGCTCATTTTTAGCGAAACTTTAGCCCTACACACACACTGAATATATATATATATATATATATATATATATATATATATATATATATATATATATATATATATATCATCATAAATTTTCGTTGTATCACAGCTCCTCAGTGTGAGTAGAGGTACAATTGCTTCAAGCAGGGATCGGAACCCGGCTATTTTAATATCAGCCAGATATCTTACCTCTAGGCCAACATCGCAGAATGGGAAATTTGATGTTTTTTCTATACAAAATACGCCAACTGCTCGGAGAACTCAGTTGATACTTCAAGAGTAATGCTTAATAGCTGTAGGAGCCCGCTTTACATATATATATATATATATATATATATATATATATATATATATATATATATATATATATATATATACATACATACATAAATACACACACACACACACACACACACACACACACACACACACACACACACACACATATATATATATATATATATATATATATATATATATATATATATATATATATATATATATGTCTGCTTGTAAGCCTCAAGAATTTGCCTAAATATTCCGTATTCAAACGGTATTGTATCTACCGCAGGAGATATATTCCATTATATATATAATCAGTTATCACTTCCGTACACAATTCCCTCATTTCCTTTTTTATCAATCCTTGTGAAACTACATTAGACACATAGTTATGTCACGCATTTACATATGAAATAAATAATAATAAACACATAATTGACATTTCCTTCCTAGTAATTGCCGAGATTATCAATAATACTTGAACAAAATGAAATCATGATATATGAATACTTAATTATTATTTTGAATCCGAATATGCAACAATAATTCGAATAATGTAAATATATAATAAAAGACCTAAACAGATTTTATTTCTGTTCAATTTGATTTGTTGATATTTGAATATTTAGATTTTATATATTTTGAAAAACAAGATACAATTCAAAATATAAGATGAGAAATATGCTCAATATCCAAGATACACGGTTTGTAGTTATCGGAAGTGTGGACATGGAACCAGGACTGTATACTGACGTTGAGATTTGTGCATCAAATAATCATCTGAAGATGTGTCCCTACTTCATTGGTGAAAAGAAAAATGACACATATTCTGAAGGTCACGGAAGATCATTAAGTATCCAAGATTCTCAAACGAAATATCTTCCCAGTATCGGATAAACAGAATGAAATAGCCACATCTGATATAGCATACATGTGAGAATTCGTGCACTATACTATATTGGTATTAATGTGATATAGTCATATATCAGTTTCCAATTTTCCCTTTCTCTGACCCTAAAATTAATCAATCAATCTATCTATCTATCTATCTATCTATCTATCTATCTATCTATCTATCTATCTATATATCTATCTATCACTGTTGGCATCTTTCCATAAATCCCAAGAAGAGTAATGAAATATAGTTTGAAGATCGCTTGAAGCCCGAAAGTTGATATCTATGTAGTGTTAATTTCTATGCTCACCCATTCCTTCTTCTCTCTCTATATATATATATATATATATATATATATATATATATATATATATATATATATATATATATATATATACAATGAAAAGAGATACATAAATAAAAAAAAATTAAATAAATTTTAAGCATTTATCTTAATATTAATTTCAAGCTAATATTGAAAAAGTAAAATACTTTGTTGTATTTCAAAACCAATTTAAATGAATGGTATTATTTTATATTATTTTTAAATCGCCCGAAATTGCTGATTGTAGTAACTTTTAACACCAATGTAATTCTCTTTATTAATATATCTTTTATACGTAAGATATTGTTCTGCAAATTTACTTGAGGAAGATTGGCTGACTTAAAGATTAATTAATCTGAATTGAAACATATATTACTTACTATTTGTTTTAAATTCAGCAAAAAATGTATCTTTCAACATGGAGTGGGGGGTGGTTGTATGAGGCGTTTCTCTACTATCTCGATAGTCTCAGGTTTGGAATTTTTTTTTTACGAGAGACATATCTTTAAAAATTTAACGAATATATCGTAAAAGCCGTTTACATATCGGTACGTTTATACACATGCAAAGAATTCAAAATATTGCTGAATCGTAGTAAACTTTTATATTCTTAATTAGCAAATATAGATTTTACTTCTTATGAATATCTCTTAAACGCTACAAATTATTACTGAATTTTAAAGATTTCAAACTTTTAAATTTTTGTATTTTAAATTTTTTAAAAATACATATTCTTGGAAGAAACACTATTCATAGAAGCATAAATTTTCGTACAATAGTTTTCTAAAAGCAATTAAAAACTTTTTTACTTAAGAAGTGACTTAGCTTTATTGCATACGTGTCTACAATTCAGAGTAGATTTTCATTAATTGAGGCTCATGATTTAAAAATTAATAACTAATGTTTCAACTTCTTCAGGGACGTTTACTTATAACTAAAGGTAAGCATTAAACCTTACAAATATGAAATACTCGAAATTTCATGTATCAAATAAGTTAGAGGTAACAGAAGAAAATAATATTTTTTTTACTAAAACTCCCTAAAATATATATCTTTCTGAAATAAATTAATTGAATTTGTAGATGAATCCTGAAAGTTTCATTACAATTACTTGTTTTTTGCATGAATTTCCAAATCAATGTGTGATTGTCCGCAAAATGAAGATAAAATTTCATATAATAATTTATGGTCAACCTCTGACCCAAGAAAGAAAATTGACCATAATTTCAAAATTCTAAAAATGGTTTTAATTTAAAAAAAAAATTATTTTGACTATCAGTAACAAATTCTCTTTTAATAACATAAATATTTGACGATTAAAGACGAATGACACTGAACTCGATTAATTATATATATATATATATATATATATATATATATATATATATATATATATTTTATATATATATTAATTTTATATTTTTTTTTTCTCAGGACATAAAGTACTTTTACATTGTTCGAATATTATACGAGGGTCATTCAATAAATAAGGTGAATTTTTCGGCATAAGGACTTCTAATACAGATATAAGCTTACTTTTCTTTATTTTTGTTTTACTTCTTTTTCACATGGATTTAATTTCTTTTGCAGGTTAAAAAAAAAAAAACTTTGAGAGTTTTGGCGATAACAAAGATGGCCTACCTAGAAGCATGCTCCAGGATTGAACAGCAGTCAGTTATCAAGTCTTTGGTTGCTGAAGGGTGCAAACCAGTTGAAATTCATAGGAGAATGTCAACTGTGTATGGTGCCACATATTTCAGCCAAAAAAATGTCTACAAGTGGGCTAAATTGTTTAAAGAAGGACGGAGCTGTGTTGAGGATGAAGACTGGCCAGGTGGGCTTACAGAAGTGAGTTCTCCTGAGGTGATCGAATCAGTCAATGACCTCATTCAATCTGACAGAAGAACTACTGTGAACGTCTGAGGCAGGTCAAGAAAGACATAAAGAACAAATGCAGAGGTCATCAGTCAGAAGGAGTCATTTTGCATCATGAAAACGCAAGGCCTCACACAGCAGCCTAAACGGTGCAGACTATCAACGAGCTGGACTGGGAACTTCTCCCTCACCCCCTTACAGCCCAGACATTGCCCCTTCAGACTTTCACCTGTTTGGTCCCTTGAAAGCATTCACGAGAGGCACGAAGTTTAAAAGTGACGATGAAGTCAAAAGTATTATGAGCGATTGGCTGAGATATCAGCCCAAAGATTTTTACGCTGAGGGAATGCGGAAGCTTGAACACAGATGGTAAACGTGTGTGACAGTGCTGGGAGACTACGTTGAAAAATAAAGAAAAAAGTAAGCTTCTATCTATATTAAAAGTCCTTATATCGAAATATTCACCTTATTTATTGAATGACCCTCGTATATGTCCTAGCGCAGTTGGTTATACTTTTAGACATTATCAAGAAAGATTATTATTTTATTTTTAGCTGAATGTATGGCATTTTATGTATATATCTATAGTCATAGTTTTGAACGTGCTTCGAAAATAAAAAATAATTAAAATTCTATATATATATACATAAAACATCGATACATTCTGAAGTTAAGAAGAATAAAAATGATTCATTGAAAATGGTTAAAGAATAATCGAAATCGCTGGTAAATACAGAAAAATTCGGACAATATTTAAATACTATACATATCTATATCTATCTATCTATCTATCTATCTATCTATCTATCTATCTATCTATCAATATATATATATATATATATATATATATATATATATATAAAAGAGAGAAGAAACTACGCAAAAACAAGAAACATTATAGTAAAAAAAAATACATAACGAATTCCAATTCCAGTCTTCTTGAACATAAACTCTTACGTGCAAATATCCTTTGGAAATTATGATCCCACATCACCCCCCCATCAATGGGTTAATTAGTAGGATCCATACAAACAAATCGTTACTATCTAAAATATGTCTTAGAATGTAAAAATATGCTCTGGCTTTAAATAATCTTCAAAGTACCAATAAACCATAAACACAAATCAGTCAATTAATATACTGATTGATTCATTTGTTTTATACATGTTTACACACGCGCGAATACACACATACACACACGCGCCCGTGCGTGTGTTTCTGTGCGTCCGTGTGCGTGTGTGTTTGTGGCTCCGGGCCTGGACAATACTTGTGAGAAGTAGCTTGACAGACGCAGTAGCAATGTTATATCTATGAGATACAGGAATTCACAAACCAGTCATTTCATCAGATTATTCGTATCGTATATGGCAAAGTCTCCTTTCTCATCTTAACAAGTACTTCTCTTCGAATCAATGCCGTCTGATGATGAGACGACACATCGTATTGCATTCGTCTCAATGTATTGCATGCAATCGCGTGAGTATCATCGAGTTTCCTAGTTGGGTGTTGGGAACTGTCACCACCACAATCTTTTCGTTAGTTGTCATCCTACATCTATGATCATCGATCACGCACACACACACACACACACACACACACACACACACACACACACACATGAAACTATGAATATGAATTCAACACCTGTGGAATGTCTTTTGTGGACCTTGTGGCATATAGTGCACCAGGTCTCTGTATTCGGCCCTTCAAAATATGTGGATGGTTTTGTACAAATCCTTCACAATTGTAATCAAATCACAAGGTATCTAGCTGTCCGTCCATTGGAACTGAGCTGCCTGCCCCTCATACGTTTAATACGACGGGAGAGTCGAATATATATATATATATATATATATATATATATATATATATATATATATATATATATATATAATGCTTAAAATATATCTAACTTTAAATTTAAATCCTCTACATTGTCATGTGATTTTTTAAATATTTTTTGTATTTTGATATGAGAACTCCTCAATTAAGATTTATGAACGTGTTATGCTATTTTTTTTCACCATCAGATATTCATTATTTTTAAAACTCTCACACATAGGTTATATGAATTTATAATTACTAGAAAGACCTGTGTAAATTTCAGTTTCCGTATTTAAATTTTCTGTTGAATCTTAATTTTTAACACTCCTGAGTTAAAAATGAATAAGTTCATGAGGAGTTCTTCGGCAATAATTATTCTTAGAAATTCCCATATCGCATCGTTAAATACTTGAGATTAGCAACTTTAAAAAAAATATTGCATTAACAATCTTAAATATGAAAGCCGATCGTTATTTTAAGAAGTGGGTAAGATTTGAAACTGAAAACTTTTTTCTATTTCACTGAAAAAGATGTTAGTCACATCTATATCCTATTCTTTATTTTTTTATTTCTTTCCTATTGTCGCTGAAATCAAGCAGTGTCTTTTATTCTCTTTCCACACGATCACAACGGAATATTATTTATGAGGCTTTGACATATGTTAAACACTTATCTACACTTATTTTAAGTCCCCGTCTTGCGAACATTTCCCTTAATAATATTTTTTAAAAAACAATTCAGCAGAATTATTTTATTAACACTATCTAGATTATTCGGGATTGCCTTACGCGTTTTCCGTCTTTCGCTACGTTGAGGTTAAATAAAAGCACTGTTATATGTGTTTTGACTGAGATCGAATTGTAGTATCCGTTCTTAACAGGTTAATCTGGTTTCATCTCTCCACTTCTGTCTTCCATTGTTTCTTTCATTTTCTCAATGAAATCAAGTAATGTCATATTCACTCCTTCCACGAGAAGATAACGTTGAATTGTCTATTCTTCATGAGGTATTGACAGGACGCAGCGGCGGTGCTAACTAACGTACGTCAGGAAAAACACAACTATAATAGGATTCTATAAATATACAACTTCTATATGGCGTGTCTCTTCGTGTCTTTTAGTATTTTTTTTTTCTTCGTTATCTCCTAATTCTTGTTCTGCTAACTAATCGTGAAGTAAGCTATTTCTTATTTTAGTGTGACCCTCCTTTTTAAATATTTTTCTGTTTGTGTCCAATTTTCAAAGCCGAAATTCTTCATTATCTACCTTAGAAATTTCAACTGTTTTTTCTGATGATATTTATAAGTGTGTTTGTTGTTTACAGTTATTTTATTTAACTAAACTTTCGCTAATTCCCAAACTGCATGAATTTAAATGTGTCACTAGGTCAGAATATCAGTCCCATCCTTTCACTGTCGAAACAGTTAAATCTACTCCAATAGCTTCATGTCTCGCACTTCCCGTCTGTGAATCTCCCTTCCTCTTACTTGCTTCCCTTATATCTATAATCTCCAACTATTCAAATGCAATGTCAATCGACATCTCCAGATGTCTTGATCTATTCCCAGTCCTTCTGTTCATCCTTTCCTCTTTCACGCCTCTTTACACTTGCTTCCACTCTCTGTAACCCCTTGCGTGCTAGTGGCAATCCCTCCTTGCTTGGAGCGAAAATGATTTAAAAAATCTTCGACATTGGCCACGTGTTCAGTCCATAGTATTCACAGCATTCTTCGGTTGAACAACATTTATTTTACTCCCTGTCCTATCTTTATTTGTGATGAGGTTGCCTAGCATAATTCAAATTGTGAAACGGAATCTGTGTGAATCTCCAAAGTATCGAATAAGTGTCCATATTGGAATTTGAATGCATGTCTCAATTCATACACCAAACACATTTAAGATCAACTTAAATATTCCTATATCACTTTTCCATAAACTCTGTGTGTCACCCATAAGAAATCTATCTATCTATCTATCTATCTATCTATCTATCTATCTATCTATCACAGTCTTTTTTATATATGTATCTATCTATCTATCTATCTATCTATCTATCTATCTATCACAGTCTTTTTTATATATGTATCTATCTATCTATCTATCTATCTATCACAGTCTTTTTTATATATGTATCTATGTATCTATCTATCTATCTATCTATCACAGTCTTTTTTTATATATGTATCTATGTATCTATCTATCTACCTATCACAGTCTTTTTTATATATGTATCTATGTATCTATCTATGTATCTATCTATCACAGTCTTTTTTATATATGTATCTATGTATCTATCTATCTATCTATGTATCACAGTCTTTTTTATATATGTATCTATGTATCTATCTATCTATCTATCACAGTCTTTTTTATATATGTATCTATGTATCTATCTATCTATCTATCTATCACAGTCTTTTTTATATATGTATCTATGTATCTATCTATGTATCTATCTATCACAGTCTTTTTTATATATGTATCTATGTATCTATCTATCTATCTATGTATCACAGTCTTTTTTATATATGTATCTATGTATCTATCTATCTATCTATCACAGTCTTTTTATATATGTATCTATGTATCTATCTATCTATCTATCTACCTATCACAGTCTTTTTTATATATGTATCTATGTATCTATCTATGTATCTATCTATCACAGTCTTTTTTATATATGTATCTATGTATCTATCTATCTATCTATGTATCACAGTCTTTTTTATATATGTATCTATGTATCTATCTATCTATCTATCTATCTATCTATCTATCTATCACAGTCTTTTTTATATATGTATCTATGTATCTATCTATCTATCTATCTATCTATCTATCACAGTCTTTTTTATATATGTATCTATATCTATCTATCTATCTATCTATCACAGTCTTTTTTTATATATGTATCTATGTATCTATCTATGTATCTATCTATCACAGTCTTTTTTTATATATGTATCTATGTATCTATCTATCTATCTATCTATCACAGTCTTTTTATATATGTATCTATGTATCTATCTATGTATCTATCTATCACAGTCTTTTTTATATATGTATCTATGTATCTATCTATGTATCTATCTATCACAGTCTTTTTTATATATGTATCTATGTATCTATCTATCTATCTATCTATCACAGTCTTTTTTATATATGTATCTATGTATCTATCTATGTATCTATCTATCACAGTCTTTTTTATATATGTATCTATGTATCTATCTATGTATCTATCTATCACAGTCTTTTTTATATATGTATCTATGTATCTATCTATCTATCTATCTATCTATCTATCTATCTATCTATCTATCTATCACAGTCTTTTTTATATATGTATCTATCTATCTATCTATCTATCTATCTATCACAGTCTTTTTTATATATGTATCTATATATCTATCTATGTATCTATCTATCACAGTCTTTTTTATATATGTATCTATATATCTATCTATCTATCTATCTATCACAGTCTTTTTTAAATATGTATCTATCGATCTCTCTATCTATGACGGACTTTTCTTTTTATCTATCTATTACATTTTTTTTTTTTTATATATCACAGAGTTTCCTTCAATATTTATCTGTCTATCTATCTATTTATGTATGACGGATTTTTTTTTACTTTTTACTTTTATCCTTCTAACTATCTGTATGTCATATTATTGCTATTTATGTATCTATCACAGTATTTCCTTTATCTATCTATCTATCTATCTATCTATCTATCTATCTATCTATCTATCTGTTTGTCTCTCTATCATAGATTTTCTTCTTTATCTATCCTTTACTGTGTTTTCCTCTTTATCTATCTATCTATCTATCTATCTATCTATCTATCTATCTATCTATCTATCTATCTATCTATCTACCTTTTAAATTAGAATTTTTATGTATAGTTTGCTTGCAAAACCCATTATAAAATACATCAATACTACTCTCTTATTACGTACGTCGCAAGTTAGTTTACCAGCCAAAATCAATTTTTCACAATCAAAATATTTGTCGAATCTTGTCTTTATGAGTTTCTTGATCTATGCATAAGTACACGCCCACAGATAGACACATACACACATTTATATATATATATATATATATATATATATATATATATATATATATATATATATATATATAGATATATGTGTGTGTGTGTGTGTGTGTGTGTGTGTGTGAGGTAAAAACAGGTTTACATATAATTCGTTAGTATATTTCTTCCAATATTTTAACCGTAATCTTTCTCTCTAGCTCTCTTTCTCTCCCATACACACTTATTTTCACACATATATATATATATATATATATATATATATATATATATATATATATATATATATATATATATAATTGCGAGGTGACTACGAACAGACTTGTATGTTGTGGAATTGTGTATTAAATTCCTCGCGAATTGATTCATATTCCCTTTTCTCTTATCCAACTTATTCCATTCAGTGGATGCACAGGGGATTTAGACCGTCGCTGATGATCAATGAGGAAGTTGTCATTTGGTTTGCCCAAGGGACATTATTGATGCGGTCGACTCGGAGATTTACATCCTTCTCAACGGAACACATAAATATCCATGTCCATTCGAAACGAAGCAGAACACAGCCAAGCTGCTCGCACGCAGACGAACAATCGCCATCTAATTCTGTCAATCTCATTTTCCATTTTAACCGATTCAATCCGGTGCACACGAAGTTAACTCGATTCATTCTCATTCATTCCCTTTCTACTCTCATATAACAGGGCATTTTTCTTTGTTTTATTTTAATTCATATTTTCATTTTTATTTATCAGTAATAATTATTCATTTTTTCTCTTATCAATAATGTTACTGAAATAATTAATATTTTCTTGTTTCCACTTGTTTTACTTCTTTTTTTAATAATTTTGTTTCATTAAATATCTCATCATAATTTTATTCTTTACTTCCAATTGATTTTTCTTTTAATATTTATATCCTATTTCGCTAATTTATTCATTTATTTTTTTTCTTCTAATTCTTTTATGTGATGTCCCGGACATAGCTTCCAGCAATATCCTTTCTTTCATAGCTTCAAGCAATAGTTGTCTCCTTAAAATCCACCCCCAGTCCAACTATTGCCTCAATTTACATAAGTTCATTAACTACGTTACTCGTCGATTCTCTCTGTCCCTATTGCCTTTATTATGTTCTATGAACATTAAATTCCCCATGTACATTTTCCCCATTATGTATCCAAGAATATTACTGGCTTTTCTGTTTCATTTTATTTCCATAATTTTGAAACTTCCTTGTGTCTCACTTGTTCCGTCAATGGTATTCTCAGAATCTTTTTGTAGACTCAGATCTGAGTTCTCAATACATTTATACATCTGTGAAAAATGGTCCATTATGTACTGACATTCAACGTTTGCTGCTCCAGAGATTTCACCTGTTCTTTGCTGATCCATTTGTCAGTTTTACTAAAAACCTCCTCCTTGCTCACATGTTCTGTCCAGGTTCTTAGCATGATTTTGTAGAAGCATATCTGTGTGGACCTAATTCCCTTTTTCATCTTCGTCATTTTAATATTGAATAATTTTTTAAATGTCAATACACATAAAGGGTGGAGATCGAAACCCATAGAGTGAAAAGTTTTTTGATAAAATTTCAATCAAGGCGTAAGTTTGCGTCTACGGACAATTTGATCAATAAAATAGTATGGGTGTGTGATTAAACGTATATATTACTGTGTAAGCGGTTTATTATGTATATGTTTAATAATAATTCTTTCTAGTTCTCTAATTATCTACTTGATATTAAGTTAAAATTCTTCATGGAAGGCACCTTATTTTTTGTCAACCGTAAAACTTACTTTCGATCTCATCCGGGATCATCCTCAGAGGTACATTTCGAAGATAAACTTCACATACCTGTAATCGTTGCTATTTTTTGGTATTTTTTTTTTTTTTTTGCAAAGACACTGAGCGGATTGTGTTAAAATTATTTAAAAATTAAATGTTGTCTATATTATTAATGAAACAAAATATACTGTCTATACATACACTCACATAAATGGTACGATGGTTACATTTTCGTCTCAGTAAGACAAAAATGAAAATAGCACTGGCATCACATTTTAACAGATATATTTACCAAAATTACACAGAAATATCTTGAAATATCAAAAACTAAATTTATTCAATGAAATCGCCATTCGGCTCAGCCATGGCTTCCAGACCACTTCGGAATCTCCTGCAATTCTTCAGGACGGTGTCAGTGTCAAAGTTGTTAAATACTGCCATAATCCTGATCTTCAGTTCATCGTTGGTGTTAGAAGGAGTTTTTTTTTTGTCTCTCTCTTAACTGTGTCACATACAGAGTAATCAATTCGGTTGCTTGTCCGAGGAGTTAGGTGGCCTGATGTAAGAGGTTATGTGATAGCAAATATTGTCTGAGAGCCATGAATGGGTTCCACCTCTTATGTGGCATGGTGCAGAGTCCGGATTCCAGATATAGGGCTCTCCAGCAATCACTCAGTTGATCAACTATCTTCTCAAGGCACTAGATGTAGGCATCCGTGTTAAGTCTAAGGTCCTCACCAACACATTCTTGGGTTGTTTCCTCATGAAAACTATTAGTATTAATTTTCCGTGCCTTCGTAAACGCCATTAAACTTATCCAAGTTTTCCGAATTGGAGAATCCGGCTCGAATGCCAAGAAGTACAGCGTCCCATTGCCAAATTTACGTTGGAGTCAATTGGTATGGTGAACTTTTCTCTCAGATGGTGCCCAACTGATCAGCTATTCTGTAGAGTTGAGAAAATCAAATACAGATAAAAAAATGCCGACAATTTACCAAGCAACACACAGACAAAGTATATATATATATATATATATATATATATATATATATATATATATATTGTGTGTATTTAGGTAGCAGATTTTCATTTATACACGTTTCATTAAATAATATAGACAAGTATTGTCTATTTATTTTATGTAAAATTTGTTCGTAACATCTGATAAGTTTGATAACATTATCATTAAACGAAGAAAGAAATTCACAATATTGATCCATATTTTTTTAATATAATCTAGGCTTTCGGCTTACTTAAGCCATTATCAAAGATGTAAATCTCAAAACATATTAAACAATATACGGACACGACAGTGATGATAGTCTGTCATTGTTTACATAGTTGATCACTAAGTAACGATAAACACGCGCATATAAGACGCTAGAAGCGAAAATCGCACAGCATCTCATGACGTCACACATGACTACACGAGAGTGAATTGTAGAATGAAGTAAGGAAAGCCGTTGGTATAATATTTATGTTGGTCACACCACAAACTCGCTTTCACGACGCTTGACACTACATTTTAATGAAAACTCTAACATTTTTAGGCATTTAAAACAACATGCCTGCCCGCACACACAATTCCGTAAAATACTTGTCGAAAACACAACTATACTTCGATATGAAAGCAATAGACAAAAACTAAAAATACTTGAAGCATTATACATCAAACAGTTAAAACCCAACCTAAACAAAATCAATTATGGCATCTCTACAAATATTCTTAAATGTCTATAATTGGTAACAGAAGCCATTGGTTTATACCAACGGCTTTGCTTACTTCATTCTACAATTCACTCTCGTGTAGTCATGTGTGACGTCATGAGATGCTGTGCGATTTTCGCTTCTAGCGTCTTATATGCGCGTGTTTATCGTTACTTAGTGATCAACTATGTAAACAATGACAGACTATCATCACTGTCGTGTCCGTATATTGTTTAATATGTTTTGTGATTTACATCTTTGATAATGGCTTAAGCCGGCCAAAGCTTAGATTATATTAAAAAATATGGATCAATATTGTGAATTTCTTTCTTCGTTTAATGATAATGTTATCAAACTTATCAGATGTTACGAACAAATTTTACATAAAATAAATAGACAACACTTGTCTATATTATTTAATAAAACGTATATATATATATATATATATATATATATATATATATATATATATATATATATATATATATATATATATATATATATATATATATATATATATATATATATATATATATATATATATATATATCTTAGCTATGGATTAAGCACACTAGTAGCTGTTAATGCATATATATTCTGTAAAATGCGTTCTCTGTCGCTGATGGGCTGAGGGTTAAAGTCTACGATTGATGTCAAATCGATCTGGTTTCCATCCCGGCTTGAAGCAAGAGCATGTCAAGCAAAACCGACGAGCTGTATGGGATACAGCGAAACAGTATATCTTTGGATGACTAAATCTGTATGTAAATATATAGTTACTTATAACTCTATAAATATTAAATATTTTATAAATTAGCACACATAATTATGTAATCCTTAGAAAAATCACACCTATTTGTGTCGTAGGCTTGAATTTTTCTATTTTTTAAATGAAGCTGTTTACGAGAGTGATTCAATGTATGCCTTTGTCAACAATTCAATATAAAAATAATTTGTTTGTTTTTATATCACATGTCAAATAAGTTTCCGTGTATCGGAAACGGCTTTTGCTTAATTCAATTAAATAATTTATTTTTTCTTCATTTCATACGAAATATTTGTATAACAGCTCATTTAAAATAGCGGACATACTAACACCTGCACACAGGCCAATTAATGAGTTTCCTGAACAATCCAACAACATACACCCACACACATTATCACAAAAACAAAACTACACATGCACGAAAACACACACACCCACACACAATTTCAGGTGAATGTCTAAACAATGAAAACTTCATTAATATTTCATGATTATGGATCTAATTAATATATCTTTGTATTTGTGAGGGTCTTGTGAACTATATTTTGGTTTCCATAATAGATCAGTGCATGATAAAGCCCA